CTGGTGCTCTGGGCTCAGGGAGCCGGGCTTGGGCGATTCCTGAAGATTTTGTCACCGCAGCAGCTGTGTTCTTAGGTTTGAGAGGTGTGTGCGCAAACATCAGACTAATAATTTGTGAAGTGTGATCCATTTTACCTCTGGGCGTGAGACTAGAGGATGGGGAATGCGGTCGGGTAGAAAATTGTTATTGTTTGCTTTTACCCACTTCTGTGCTCTCTGAATTTTTTTCAGGGGTCTCGTATTACTCGTTGATATTAAAAACTAAGAAAAGAGAAACCGAACCATATTGGAAGTCACAGGACCATCTGAGCCCCAGTGGTGTGAATCAGGTCGAGGACTGGCATTGCCTGTGACCCCAGAGAGAAAGTGTCCTGCAGGGGACAGAGCTGTGGGACCAGCCCAGCCAGGCCCTCAGCCTACCTCTTGACAGGCAGAGCTGACTGCCGCAGAGCTATCCCCTCGATTCGGGCCCCCACACTCTTCCATGAGCTCTGGGGGTGGGTACTGGTTCCTTCCACCTAAAGATAAAATAAAATCTCAAATCAAATCAAGCCTATAATAGTATGAAACTTGAAAGTAAAACAAAATAAAATAAAGCATAAAAACAAAATATTTTCCATTAAGACAGAAAACTTAAGACAGAAAATAAAATCAAGTAAGCACAAAATCAAGTAAAATATACAAAAAAAATTAAAAAATAAAATCTAAAAACGAAAAAAAAATCCACTGACATAAAAGTAAAAAGAGATAAAATAACTTCAAACAAAGCACAGCATAGACACAAAAATAAAAGCAAATAAAATAAAATAGGAAAACAAAATAAAAGCATAAAATGCACCCCATCATATAAATAATAGAGAATTAAACCACAAAAATAAAAGGATATAACAGAACGTGAAATGCAACCTAACGGAAGAAGACATTTAAAAAAAGTGTAACTAGAAAAGTGATCATTCAGCCTGTTCCTCCCTCAAAGAATCACTAAGCGCTCAGCCATGCATTACAATTCTCTCCTCCATCTCCTGCAAAGGTAATGAATCTGAAGTTCAGAGAGGTTCACTGACCTTTCTAGAATCACACAGCTCACTAGTGGCAAAGTGAGGACTAGAACCGATTCATCAGTCTCCATGCCTCTCGAGTCAGGGAGGCACAGATGCTGTGTCAGTAATTCCGAGATGCCCATCAGACTCCCTTTATTCCTTCAGTGAGGAAGGGGCACGTGTCCCTTGAGGCTCCCGACAGGATGTCACACCCATGTACAGACTGAGAAACTAAGGTCTCTGCGCAGATCCCGTGTCACGAGGCGGCACCCACACAAGAGCTGTTCTGGACTACACACTGGTGCACAACGCCCAAGGCCACCTCCTGGAAGGGGGACCAGGATAATACCCACCCCGCATCCTGACCGTCTCCACACCAAGCCAGGGATACAGATTTGGTACTAGCGGCCCACGAACTCGGTTCAACTAGTTCCAGCCGAAAGTGAGGGCACTAGGACAGGAGACAGGGAGGAATTCCAGCTGAGATGCACTGTCACTCCGCCCACTGCGGCTTCATCCACCCAACCTGAGGTGGGGGACTCTGGACTTCTGTCCTGACTCCCTCACTTCCTGGCAGGTCCCTGAAGTCCTCTGAAAATAAATAAACATCATATACTCTTGCCACTCAAGCTGTGGTCCACGGACCAGCAGCAACGGCAACAACCAGGAGTTTGTTAAGAAAGCAGAATCCCCAGCCCCAGCTCCGACCTACTGAATCAGGATCCGAATTTTAACTAGACTCCCCGGGAAATGCATGTGCATGTTAACATCTGAGAGCCCTGTTCTGCAGCACTGGGGGCTGGATTACTGGGTGCAGCAGTACCGACACCTCCTCTTGTATCTGCACAGCCATGGTGCTTTCATGCACGTATCTGAATGCAGGCTACACAGAGAACACACCGTAATCCTCATTTTGGTAAAAGAAAACCCAGAGGTCAGGTGGAAACGTCAGGCTCCTAGGCACCACACAAGAAATCAGTACTAGGCTTGGCACAGTGTCAGGGCAACAGAGCTCGGGGTTTTCAGGTAGTGGGGGGCTCCCTGGGGGCTCCCCAGAGGCTGCGGGGCTGCTCACACCTCAGCAAGGGCGAAGGTGCGACGGGCGTCCACCCGCCCAAATGCCAGGCTCTGTACGCCCTCCCTGCAGCCCACCCGGACATCCCCCGTGCACTGGAAATGCTCACTTGTTAGGAGGTTCAGGAAGGCCCGCGTGAAGCCCCGGGCGTATGCCACCTCCGGGTCCGAGATCCCCTCCAGTCGTAGCAGGTGCTGCTCAGAGGGGGCGCTGGCCAGGCGGGCCAGCTCAGCCAGTTCGCGGGCCCCCACAGCCTGGCCCCAGGCCAGCACAAACAGAGTGATGCCCTTGCACTTGGCCTCCAGGGACAGAGTCCTTAGCTTCTCCCGGTCCCAGCCGCTGGTCTCACTGGCCACGATGGCAAAGAGGACCTGCACCCTCCTGGGCAGCGGGGCTGCCAGGAGCACCCTCTCCAGCGTCCACTCCAGAGCATGGCCCAGGGCAGGGGCTCCCTGCAGCGGGTGGCCTGCGGCCTCGCGGACGTGCTTCTGCATCTGCATCCGGCGGCTGTAGGAGGTCAGGTGGAAGTCCTCGCGCACAGGTGGGTGGCCAGAGGGCGGCCAGAAGCCAGGAGTCGTGTGTGTCACCAGGGCCGCGCGCGCCCCACGCGGGGATGTGCTGGGCTCCGCAGCCACCTCCAGGTCATCCAGGGTGGCGCCCACAAGGGTCAAGGCGGCGCGGTACAAGTCTGCGTCCACGCCGCTGGAGCTGTCCACCACGAAGGCCACATCCATGTCCACCGCCAGGGGCCAGGGGGCGCCCCGCCCGCACTCCACAGCCGGGCGGCACGGGTCTGCGGAGGAGAGGCGGGGAGAGGCCAGGGTTACCACGCGTCCCTTCCCTTTCCATGCACACACGCTTCCAGACGCTCAGTAAGGAGAGTGAGTGTTGAGGGCTACCCTCACAGGGTTGACCCTGTGGGCCGGGCACTGTAAGTAGATGTGCCCATTATCCAGAAGGAAGACTTGAGAAGACCTGATTCCACATTTAATGTTTGTAACCACTAAGCTTCCTAATCCTTGGTTTCACAGATCCCTGCCTGGCCAATCAAGCCCCATCTCTTACTTTTGTGTGATCTGGGCGATGACAGCTTCCCCCTGGCCTCCGTGCCCTCCTCTGTCCGATGGAGATAATGATGATGATGACAACAACAAGGACAATGGCAGCACCTCCGTCCTGAGGTGGTTCGTGAAGTTTAACTTTAAAATGAGTCATATATGTTAAGTGCTCAGAAGAACACATGGGGTGCAGCAAAAGCTCAGGCCAGCTGGGTTTATGCTTCCAAAGGAGAGGGGATGGAGGCACAGAGAGGCCACGTGTCAATGAGGTGATGGGCGTCAACGCAGTCCCTCAACTGTAACCTACACCACAAGCGGCAGCTCCTGTATTTGACACAACCAAGTTCTCGGAGCCAAACCGCTCATGGCGGTGTGAGGCCTGAGTGTGAACCAAGGAGACAGAACAGTTTAATCCCCTTTTGATTTTGCCTAAGGGACTCACTGTGGCCCCGGGTGATGGGGGTCTGGGCATGCGTGGGTTTCAGCATCTCGTTTGATCTGGCACAGGCCAGTGCGGGGCGTGGGACGTGGTGATGGAGACTCCCAGAAAGGGAATGATGCAGTGATTTGCCGATACCCCACAGGTGGTCAGCAGCAGTCCCAGGCCGAGAACATATCTTAGTTTGGTGGCCTGTCCTTCACACTAAGTTTCTGCTGAGGAAGGAACGCAAGCCCAGCCATCTATGGGAGTCTGGCAGGACAGCACATAAGCGGAGTAGATCGGGCGTTACTGAGAAGACAGGGAGGGGAAGGAACTGTGGGGGGCACTAGCCAGACACTGGTTGCTCTAAAGGGAGTGGGAACAATTCATCTCTGTCTGACCATTGCCACAAAGGAATGCAGTGTCTGCGATTCTCCAGATGATTCTGACTTCCTGAGAAAAATGAGAAATCCAGACTTGATAGGAAATTCCCCAGCTCGGAAGTTCTGCATGTACCAAGCAAATGCACATCTGCAGAGCAGAACTGGCCTGTGGCCACCAGCTAATTCATCCTGTTCTAAAGACAGTGTGAGAAGCGACACTGCCCAGGCTCACCATAGCAGAGCGTGCAGCGGGCCATGCGCTCCACATCCTGCTGGCTCTCCGTCTCCCAGACGTACAGGTGAGATCTGTTGGTTCCATCCATCTGGGGGGAACACAGACACAAGGTTATTGTTAATTATCACCGAACTAAATCTCAGGCCTTGTTTTCCATGCATCTCCCAATTCAGGTGAGAAAAATATTACTATGATTTTTTAAAGAATGCATATAATTATGTATGTGTAATTTGGCATTATCTATGCCAGCTGCATACAGTCATTTAGTTCTCTAGTTTCAGCGTGGAGGTTGGACTGTCATGAGCTGTGGGGTCTGCAGACCCCCAGTGTGTATAGAACTCAACCAATGTCAGGCTGTGTTGGAACTAGGGTAAGGAAGTCAAAGCTTTAATTATTTAGAAATTCTGTAAATCTTCAGTGATTGTCCATGGTATGTGGTGCAGTGTCAGGGGAGTTATAGACATGAACACGTAGACCCTTCAAGGAGGTGGTCCCGGAGGTCACATACTGTTAGAATGGAAAGAGGCCGAGACCACAGGGGAGGCCTGGCTAGAATATTCCTGGTGTTCAGAGCTGGAAAGACGGAGGGGATCAGGGAAGGCTTTGCAAGGATGGCAAATCTGTTTGTCTCCTTCACTTAACCTTTCCCATTATGATTCATTTAATTACTGGTATCAGGCTTAAAAGAAAAATGGTATTAACAATAATAAATCCTTAGTCACATGCACCCAGGGTTCACAGCAGCACTGTTTACAATAGCCAAGACATGAAACAACCTAAATGTCCATCAACAGATGACTGGATAAAGAAGATGTGGTATATGGAATAAAATTCAGCCATAAAAAAGAATGAAATAATGCCTTTTGCAGCAACATGGATGGACCTAGAGATTCTCATACTAAGTGAAGTCAGTCAGTCAGACAAAGATAAGTATCATATCACTTACGTGTGGAATCTAAAAAAAAAGATACAAATTCTCTTTACAAACCAGTACAGGCATAGAAAACAAACTCTAGTTACCAGAGGGGAAAGGGCAGAGGAGGGATAAATTAGGAGTTGGGGATTAACAGACACACATTACTATATATAAAACAGATAAACAACAAGACCTACTGTACAGCACAGGGAACCATATTCAATTTCTTGTAATAACCTATAATGCAAAAGAATCTGAAAAGAAAATATATATGTATGTATATGTATAACTGAATCACTTTGCTGTACGCCTGAAACTAACATTGTAAATCAACTACACTTCCATAAAAAATAAAATTTAAAAAGACAATAATAAATCCAACAAGGTCCACGTGATAACTGGCTAGACCATCGACAAACCCACTCCCTCGTCTTCCGAGGGCCATGGCTAGACCTCAGGTCCCATCCTCATCGTCCCTTGCAGCTGACTGGACCACGTGGCTAGGGTGGAGCTGCCCACGTGGAGGAGGAAGCGCTGACTGCCATCTCCAGGGTGTGCACTCAACTCCACTACCTCCTCAGCCCTCATCTGCCAGCCAGATGCAGAGGATCCAGAAAAGATTCTGAGGACCCACCTCACTGGTGACAGAAGCAGAAATAACCCTTTCTGGGGCTGAACCACTGAGACGTGGGTGTGAATGGTTTCACAGTCAACCTCCCCTGGTTACCACAGACCAGCAGCAGGATTTCCCATTGCATCATGAAATGAGAAATGCCTTCAGATTACTGCTCTCTGGGATTGAGGGGTGGTCTGCAAAGAGCTGGCTATCTTGGCTTGGCCATGTCCATCTCTTTGTCTACTCTGTCACAACACCTGGGGGCTGGAGGACCAAGCAGACCCGGACCCTCCTCGGGTAGCAAGGTACACGGGATTCAAAGATGTACTTGCCCTCGGGGAGACAGATGGGCAAGGGTTACTTTGGATGAGAACATTCGGGAACACAGACTCCATGCAGAGCTCTTCCCTCTTCCTGTTCAGGACTGCAGCATGGTCCCTTCCACTGAGCTTACTTGGAGGAAAAACCCTCCTAGGGAAAGAAATGTAAAGAGCTGAACTTTCGTTTATGCTCATGTTACACAAAGCAAACATGGGAACATTCCTAAGTCTTCCATGGCAAAAGCAACCTGAAATTATGCTTTTTCTTGACTTGGAAATTCAAACCAACCAAGACTGATTCAATGGTTACCAGGTAAAAGGCTTAACAAGCCATCTGGAGACACCAAAATGACACAGCCACACATTCCAAGAGCTTAAAAACCTTTAGTGGAAAGATGGACAGTCTTCAAGAAAGACAGAGGCTCAATAACACATTTTAGGAACACAGGAAGAGATTCATTTCAAAAGGAAGAGGTGGAAGGAAACTGATAAATAATCATGATGAAGACAATGGCATTTGAGAAAATGAGGAGGATCCTTACCTGGCAAAGCAGCAGGGAAAAGCATGATGGCATGGAGGAACAGCATGTGCAAGTGCCCAGAGGTAGGCAGTGGTTTTCTATGGGTTCTTCTCAATGTCCCAACACCCTAGAGATTAGATGTGCAGCATATCTGAAACCCTCTAATTCCCTGCCAGACAGAGGAACTGACATGAAGAGCGAAGGGAGAGTCGCCAGCATCCAACATTCAGATGGACTCCACATAGTCACTAGATCTGAGAGTCAACCAAACCAAATGGACCTAATAAATCCCCAAAGATCAAAGAGAACAGTTGTCAGCATGGAAATTAATAGCTTCCCTGGAAATCACAGGAGGCAATCTGGAAGGCTTCTGAAACCAGGGTCCACAGCAGTGTTCCAGAACATGGAAGAAGCATGGAAGAACCCCAGGAGCAGCGACTTTACTCCAAGAGTTGCAGGGAAATGCTAAGCTGGTGTTCATTACTTTTAAATCACGGGATACATGAGTGGAATGTGTTATAAAAGGAAGAATTCATATTTTTAAGGTAGTATGAAAGACTTCCAACAAAGTCAAACATTCCTCCGAGTTTGTACAAAGGAACGATTCATGGGAGAAGTGCTATGCAGCCCTAATGGACTAGGTGTCTGGAACTGGGGTCCTGTTCTCTGGTCTGCCGGAACTGGCTGTGTGACCTTGGGCAAGCCCCTGACCTGTTTCCCTGGCAACAGAGGTTTAAGGTAGGAGTCACTACTGCTGAGTTCCTCCTGTTCTGACACAGCCTAGCCCTCTGTTCCTGTCTTCTCTTTTTGACTCATGTTCAGGACACTGTAACTTTTTCTACTAGGAGCAGCTCAGGGGATGCAACTCTCCATCTGTTGTTCTGCTGGCTGGAAAAAAAAAACAAATTCAACTGAACTGGAATAGCTACAAGCCTTGCATATTTTTAACTTTTCTTAGGAAGAATAGTTTTGTGATCATGATTAAAAGATTCACCATTCTTGCAAAAATAAAATTGTGGAAACCAGAACACAAAAACATAGTGTGAGTCCTCAGGGAACCATAATTCAGCAGAGATGCTTCTGGACCTCCCTGTTATTCATTCACATTTAATTCATTTGACTTTGGGCTGGCCAGCATGGTCCCAGTCACTGATAAGGCAGACAAGATCATTTTGGAGAAAGTTCAAGCAAAGAGATCGTATGGGAGGGGAGCCTGGAGGGAGAAGAGAAAACGGGGTATCTGATTCCTACTGCAAACTCCCATCAGCACCAGAGACGGAAACCTCACAGAGTACCTGGAGCACAAACCAGTCATCTACTTGGGGCTCAAAGCTTTACAGTAGTTTGAATCAGCACCTCTGGTGATGCCCTCAACCAGCGTCACTCCTGAAGGTCCAGCCGAGGTCCTGATGGGACTGGCTAGGCACTAAAGGCAGGGATGTATGGCGGGCAGAGGGGGAGGGGAGAATGCAGCACAAGGCTTTGCATCAGCATGCTCTTCTGTTTAATAGTCAGAAAGACCTTTTCTTGCAGGATACAGACAACCCTCGAACCTCAGTCCCCATTACTGAAGAAAGCTGCATGGGCCCTGAGCTGGAGGGGCCCACGGGGTTCAAGCCAAGACTTCAACTGCTGACTAAGCTGCCAGAAGCCCCAGGACAATGCTCCTTCCTGGAATGGAGCTGGAGGAGGCTCCTGGCAAGTGCCAATAAGGAGGATTTACCTTGAACCGAGAAAGGGCTGCCTGGACACCAAGGAGGGAGAGTTAGAAACCACTGGGCATCCAGTAAGGGCTTAGGGAACAAGGAGGGAAAACTGAAAAAAATCAGGGAAGGAAAAGAAGACAGTAATCACGTCCCTGGTGACAGATCCTACCAGGTGGCGTGGTCCCACCAGGACTGCCGAGAAGCAGCTGACTCTTCTGGGCGCCCCAGAGAACACTGGGGCCGACCTTGGATCGAGGGTGTTGGGTGGCAGAGCCGGAAGAGGGAACTAGGGAACACATGAGGGAGCCAATTAAGAACTGTGCCCTTTAGAACCAGTCACTTCACCTCTGACCATCACTCACCCATGCCTTATCCTATTGACTTGTGTGGTAGCCTTGAGAGAGGTGATCAGGCAGCCATACCGACCTTGGCGGATTAACCACAAGGGAAAGAAAGTGCCAGGCTGTTAAAAACAAACAAACAAACAAACAAACAAAAATAGGTTGTTTCTTTTACACCGCAGCTGGCTCCTTGGCTCTGAGAACATAGTCCTACAGCAGGACGACTTACGTCCCACAGCTGCTGCCTGGACCCCAAGGACAGCCCCCAGTATCTCTTTCTTTGTTCTCTTTCTTCCCGTGAAGTTCCTGTTTTAGGTCTAAGCTCCACGGGAGGAAAGAGCCAGTAACAGGAGGTGCCTGACACCAGTGGAGGGAAGACAGTGGGGGCGGAGGCTTCCAATAAAGAGACCCTGTGGCCGACTGAGTTCTGAGGCTGTCTCCGCTGGCTGCCTGGCTGATGGCTCCCCACTCAAATATTGTTTGTTTTTTTTTGACAGAGGTACTGGGGATTGAACCCAGGACCGATGCATGCTAAGCACACACTCTACCACTGAGCTATTACCCTCCCCTCTTTTTTGATTTTGTCCCTTCTCTCTCTGAGTAATAAAGCAGCTTCCTTCTTCCCTTTGTCCCTTTGCCTCTATGAAGAATTCTTTCTCAGTCGGGGG